CGTTCACCACCACACCATGCGGGTCCTTTGTTTCGCCTGTTTCTCAGCTATTTCTATCGATCTTTGCCACAGCAATCACCTGTCAGCGGGATTGATCTAGGGAGCCCAAATCGACATTGAACCTAGTTGAGAGGCAGGCGAAACGAAGGACCCACATGTTGTAGTGGTGAAAAAGTTATTCCCCGGAAAGGACAACAGCAGGCTCGTTTCCCACCATAGACACCTGCGGTCCAGAGTTTTGAAAATACCTCAGCAACGTTGTGGTTGTATTTCGCTTAGTACCCTACCCTGCCACGAAATTATAGTAGGCAGAAAGCAAAAAGGTCTAACATTGTGATTTTAACTACAGCCGCAGCTTAACTGGGTTCTATGCCGATTTGGGCGCCCCAGATCAATCCGGCTAACGGGTGATTGCTGCGGCAAAGATCGATAGAAATAGCTTTGAGACAGGGGAAACAAAGGACCCGCATGGTGTGGTGGTGAACGCACTACTCCCCGGAAAGGACAATAGCGTGTTCGTTCCCCACCATAGACACCTGCGGTCCAGAGTTTTGCAAATATCTCAGCAACGTTGTGGTTGTATTTCGCTTAGCACCCTGCCGCAAAATTATAGTAGGCAGAAAATAAAAAGGTATAACATTGTGATTTCTATTCATTTACGTTTTTGGGGATGCGAAATAGGAATATGTTTCGCCATTTCAAGTTTCATCAATTGTGAGAACGAAGCGCGAACCAGGATTACATGCGCCGAACAAGAACTGCATGGACATGTCTAGATAGTCGTCAATTCACTCAAGGGCACCAACTGAGAAAGACAGAGAGTTAGAGTTGGATTCGGTGAAGGACTACACAAGGATAGCGGATCCCGACGACGTAGCCACTTAAGATATTAAAAAATGTTGTTAGAAAACCAACAGATCCATTAGAGGTGATTCGGAGACGAACAGTTCCAACTGAAAACAGAAAATTTACCTGCACCTCAGCTGTAGAAGCTTCCGCCTCACGTGAACCTATACGAACCCTGAATCGAAATGACATTAATTCTACAGTGTGCGATAAACTATATGGAGAAGGCATATTCCTCATTTTAAGAACATTTGTAACTATAGCCTTTGTTTCGCGAAGAATGGAAATTAAATCGAAGCCATCTACACCACAGTGTACCTTGTTTAGGACATCTTCAGCACTTGGAAAGATAAACAAACCTATCGGGAGTTCCGCTACAGTAGGCAACCCCAGGTAGGACTTTGTCTTCCAATTTCTGAAAAAAGCTAATAGTTACTAATAATTAGTCATTACCTTAACACTTTTACCAAATCACGTAAACTGCTTCTTGGAAAAACGCACCTCTATAGAAGTTTCTGTGCTACTTTCTCGATAGCGCCATAGCGTAGAGGCTGGCCCACGGTTGATTGGGTCAAGAATGCGCTCAGTCATCGCTTCTTGATAAGTCAACGTATCAGAGAAACGACTTCGATAAAGCTGTCTACACTCAGTAGGGAACCCTAAAGTACAACAAAACTGCATCAATCCACCTTTTTCACATTAACTAGAAGCGAAAGGCAAACATAAACTAAACGACCTCATTACCGGAAAGCTATCAAATGACGGAACGAAAAAGTGGTGAACCGAAGAGAACGTACTATTTCCGGCATATGCTGGATAAGGTAAAAGCAGTTGTTCAACTGTTGGATGCTTCTGCTTTACCACATTCACAGAAAGTTCTTCTTTCGTTTTTAAAAGAGCCGAATAGTCCTGCTGCAACTTCTTTATGGACTCCTGAAATCTCTTGGTATCACAAACCACTTTAGTATTCGTAGAATCAAAATAACTTTAGCTACGAACTGCGGCAGAAAGATTGTAAGCAATAAAAACTGAACTGTTGAAAAATACGATAGCAGAAAACAAAGGAAAAAAAGAGGATTTTAAAGTTGGGTACATATGAAATAGTAAGGCTATTTGTGTCCATCGTTTGAGCAAATCGCCTTCTTGCTAGAGGCCGTGTATTCCTTGCATCATCCTCGTGAATGGGACTTAGTTCGAAAGATGGTCGAAGTGATGGAACCTAATACAAATAATGATCCTCTCCTATACAATGAGGATAAAATTTAAGAATAAAGACAAAATTATGCGATGATTGCAAACCACCACTTGACTAATATTTGTTATATCCGGCTTGAATTCAGTTTCTTCTGCACTTCGATGTCCATCCGCGGCCTGATCCATCGATAGCCTCAACGGTGATGGCTCACGGTTATTTACCAACTGCAATACCTTATTTCGAATACTGGACCTCACTGAACGTGAACAATGGTAAAGAGAAACACTGACACTAATAACAAAATCACCTCATGATCATGATTGTCGAAAGATGGTCTTTGTGACACTTCCTCATCAACCACTTGACGATGAGACAATGACCTGAATAATAAAGAATGATGAACAACAAGGGTGACGCAAAAACTGGAAAAAGCCTCAAAGATGAAGATTACCTAATCACATGAAAGTACTATTTGGTCTGACACGAAATGATAAAAAGAACAGCTAATGGCCTCTTTTTCATCGTTTATTCAGTAAAGTGACGTAAACCACCATTTTAGACCGCCCATCGAGTTAAACTAACAAGTTTTCGAAGAGTTCAGGAACCCAAGCGATTTCGAAAGGTGCATAAACATATGTAATATCAAGATCTTCTACATTCCTTAATTATTTAGTCAACTGCAATGCATACTCTTTTCTTCACATTTTTGGACATTGTACCCAATGTGGTCAAACAGGAGCTATCGTCTACAAAGAATTTCCACAAAATAGCCATCGGAACGAGATGACTTACTTAAGCGAGTCCCGGAGCTACTCCCCATTCACTCAAAATAGCTACATCCAGAGCGTTACTCTAGGAATACTAAAAAGTACGCTTCATGTGGTCATTTTGAGCCAAAGCAAAGTTATATGCCCCAAAAGAATATTTTCAGTTTGGAAAAGAATATTCTTTACAGTCACAATGTTGCTGAGATATTTGTAAAACTCTGGACCCTGCAGGTGTCTATGGTGGGAAACGAACGCGCTATTGTCCTTTCCGGGGAATAACGCGTTCACCACCACACCATGCGGGTCCTTCGTTTCGCCTGTCTCTCAGCTATTTCTATCGATCTTTGCCACAGCAATCAGGCGAAACAAAGGACCCGCACGGTGTGGTGGTGAACGCGTTAACGTCCGGACAGGGTTATAGCGTGTTCGATCCCCAACGCACACACCTGCCGTCTGGAGTTTATGCAAATATCTCAGCATCACTATGGTTATAAAGATAGATTCCGCATAATACTCTACGGTGAAAAGTTTTAAAAGGCAGGAAATGAGAAATTTAACACTGTTTCCAGTACTAACAGAAAGCTAGCGCGATCCATATCCACAAACGCTTCTGGAGGTGGAAATGGTGGTAGCTCTTCATCCAGTGCATTCGGATCCACTGCAGGAAGCTTCAAACACATCGATATGTCACCAACAAAATTTAGGTAAAAAGAAACTTTTTTAAAATCACACCTTTTCACTGGAATTCCCATTCTGAGATGATACATTAGTGCTCGCCAAGGACGCTTGATCGCTCCAGTTAATGCTGAAAAGAATTATACCAGTGTTTCACCACTCGCTCGTTCTCGTTTCACCCCTTTCTTTAGCAACTTTAGAACTTCAATAGCACGCACAAATGGTTCTTGCTGAAGTTGATAGGTAACTGATTTTCGTCTTCGTGAAAGATGTCCGGTCGTTGCCAAATCACTGGCTCGGGCTCGAAGAGTGTGATGTCAGATGGACGAGCAAGATGGACAAATCTGCTCTCCTAAATCTAGGTCACATCCGTTTTCTACAGAGACCACTGAACAAAAGACAAAGTGACCATGAATGATACGACATTTATCTTACTGAGATGAACTACCACATTTTATTGGCAGATTTGCCGAAGATGTCGATGTGCATCTTGTCGACGGGAAGCTACCAACCTACGAACATCAAGGTTCGATTATTCGCAGGCCAGCGGCAGCTAATCGCAGTAAGCTAAGTACTCTCGAAACCATCCACATTTAAATCTTACCGGAACCTCGTCAATGTCAATATCAGTATTCATTTCTGCTATAGATAATTTGGAACGGCGCTGGCGTTTCCTCGGTGCAATGAATTCACTGAAAAAACCGCCGACAATTTAATAAGCAGTCCAACGACATAAAATATGAAGGCTAGTATTATTGCAAAATATACTTGATGCTTGGATACTTGAATGGCCCGTCTTCACTGGTTGTACGGGCCCCAGTATAACTTCCATTTTCTCGGCGTTTTGTTGGTTTTAGCCATTGTGGTTCCCTGTATTCCCGAAATCAACCGGGCCAAAGTCTATTCCTGATCGTCACTACCACAGGCAGTCGCCGCACATCTGGATCAGCGAGGCATTTGTCACCATGCGACTAGTTCGATAACATCACAGTGGTGGATCCTGCAGTTGGTTTACTCTTAGCCGGACTTCCTAATGGAAACACTGGACTCCTCAGCTTGGGAGACCCTGCTGGGCAGATGAATGCCTCAGCCATACAGCACAACAAGGAACACCAGCCAGCCACGAGGAGGTAAACCGTTGGAAGAATTGCAAAATACACGATATCACAAATGGCACGTCTAATAAGCACTAAGTAATCCTCAAATAGGACCAAAGTTACGGGTTTAAAACAAACCTCAATGTAGCAGGATCGTAGTCTTCAATCTCCATCGGCAATCGCTTACAGCTCTCGTAGACGCTCCGCACATCCTCTAAGAAATAACGAAGCACACTAAACCATCGATCATAAATTCTCCTAGGACTCACGCTCAAAAATAACCACTTGTCGGCTAAAAATGACAGTAGTGCCATAAACTAGTTGTCCGATAAGGTATAGTGAAAACTTGGACAACCGATCAGCTTCCACACCTGGGCCAGTCGGTGTGAACTTCAGAATTTCACGGCTGAAATAAAAATGTTGAAACTTTGAAACTGGATGCAACTGCTATTTTGCCGCTACACCTAAACCTGATGCAAAATTGGTAGAAATATACTTAAACCGAAGATAGACTTCTGAAGAAGTGATTATACTCCATCAACAGAATGACTGGTATCTACAGCTGACTGACAGGTGTAAGGAACTTACCATACATCGCTGATCGAAACGCCTATAACTATCCTCCGAGGTAACTTCCTTGAAGGGCCAGATGTGGCCGCTCTCCTAAAGTTTAACTCATCTACAGGATGTACATAGTGTGAATTCCAACTACTGGAAGGTTTTATAAGCAGCACTCGATTTGGGAAAACAAACTATTCACTCTACTTCAGCTGTATTCCTCTAGTCTCATAATTTCAGCTATCTAATACCCTAAATTTAGCATGAAAACAGTAAAGTAGAAAAGCAATAACCCTCACCAAACCAGTGCAAACTTGCCATCACGACCAATCAGATGGTTTTTAGAGAAGAACATCGCTAACACTATAAACACTATGTAACTGATTAACATCTATAACACTAAATATCATCAGGAATCTGTTTAACCACAGAACAATGAATATTAGTTCAGCGTCCCTACAATTTTCGAAAAATGCCGCCAATATGCTTAAAGCGGGAATTTTAAACCTCAAAGATCTGCACAAAGCCATTCCGAATGGTGGTCCCAAAACGAATGCGCAACGGTAGTGAATTCAAACGGGAATATCTTGTTGGTGTGTGCTTTGACCATCACGTCTATGATTCCACCTGTGTCTCGCATCGTGTGCGCATAAGAATAAACAAAGGATAAACTCTCGGCGTTGATCAATCCTCGGGAGATCAATCCATGCATTCGATTTCGTTAAGCATCGTTGGATGTGACTGAATGCATATCAGGCCTTTACAATGACTCGCGGTGGCCTACCGATGCATCGATCCAGTGCTGCTATCCTCTCAGACTAGTCTGGTACCAATTTGTCGACCCCGGTGGAATGGAAGCTTTAGTGGGCCACGGGCGCAGGGATCGATCTCACGTGTATTGTAAGGCACCTCGAACCACAGGGCCACACGTGCCATAGTGTGGGTATCTACAGTAATTCGATATCCATTTTTAGGTCCACTTTGGGTTTATTCTTCACGACTAGTGTAGCTCGAGAATTGCTTTACAACTAGTGTAGCTCGAGAATTGCTAGATAAGCTTACTCATGCGGAGAACAAAGAATTGGTCCCTTAGCACCGCATACGTGCAGTCTGCTTAGTTCCACTTCCGTTCCAATGTATTGCCTTTGGCAGAGTCACAGATTGACAGTGGATAGGACAGGGATACACGGTGTTCCACATGCTAAATCAGCATGTTAGGAAGGCTCAAAGTAAGTACAGATTTGCCTTAGGCGGCTATGAATCGAGCAAGGCGTAGCTGAAACATAAGAGTGTGCAGTTGTCCGACATGAAGAAAGTGCAGAAATACAATAGAATAAAAAACGAAGTAGTACGAAAGCCTTTAAGATATTATGCGAGTGCTTTACCCACTAAAAGCCATTCTGAACCTAAATATGACGACGGTTCTTATTAATCATCAGAATAAAAAAAAAGACAGATACTTAGATACTTTGGTCACCAGTATTCACATGTCGTGCGGATTTCAGCACTTCTATTCGTTTCGTCTTCTGGCAGCAATCCAAGGAAGTGGTCCGACTCATACAGGGAGCTTCGGCTAGAACTTCAGACTAAGTTATTTTCCGTCATCAACATGATATGCTGGTCGACCATTATTTTATATGGGTATCCCACAGATGGTCATGCTACGGCGTCTTCAGGCCCTCACTTCAAGCGGTTGCTAGACGTTGTGGATACTATGGAGCTTTACTGCCTTGTGACTTTGTTTACCGCCAAGGTGACCGGGAATATTGTGACAACAATAAATCCTGCGCCAAATCGATCGACCACTCGAAGACGAAGTGACACGCTGAATTACCTGATGGAAGAAGATAACATACGTAAAATTTAGAGTAAAATCTTTAAAAATACTGGAAGACTGTCCTGAGAGGCATGTGGTGGCTTACTGGTCCACTGGTTACGAAAAAACGTGGAACGTGCTGGATTTATTCCTTTATCGGACCTCAAGGTGTAGACAAAATTGAGACACCAATAGTATGAAAGTAAGGGCAGGTAATGCAGTGATAATGATGTCGATTATTGAGCACGATTCTGGTTCGGCTCTGCAGCTGCCTAACCAGTTCTGATGTGTCCGGGAATACATAAAGAAGGATAGAGCTCTCGGCGTTGATCTATCCCCGAGAGATGCGCCATGAACTTGACTTCATTAAGCATTGTTGGCGTTGACTGAATGCATGTCTGGCCTTAACAGTGACTCGCTGTGGTCTACCGATGTATCGAGCCAGTGCTACTGTCCTCTCAGACAAGTCTGGTATCAATTTGCCGATTTCGAGGGACTGGAAGGCTTGGTGAGCCTGGGGTGCGAAGATCGCACCCATGTGTATTGCAGGGCGCCTCCGATCACTGCGCTACACGTGCCCATGGGAAAACTTACTCTCTGTGATCCTACTCGAAACGTCTCTCTAAATCAGCTATCTCAGTGATCCACTTGACTAGAATTCAACGACATTCTTTTTGAAGACGATGGCAATCCCCAAACGGCTGTCGAACCTACGTGCGAAAGTTCGAAGACCTTTGTGGATAACGGAATGTGAGGCAACGAGTCTAACTCAAGAAGTGCTGGGAAGAATCAATCTCTGATCCGCACAAAAATTGTGAATAATGGATGGGTCGTGCAAAACAAGAAAAAATAAAAGCAGGTAGTACGAAAGTAAAGGATTACAATCTATTACAACTAAGGAAAACTGGAGAATGAGTCGTCTGTCGAGAACCATTAACAAATCTAATAAATCTCTCGCATGAGTCTAAAATAGCCTGGATTTCTGGATGCTTGTAGCACCACCTTCAACAGCTGCTCGAAAACATAAGCGTGAAGTGAGTAATTGTTCGTATAGACTGGAAGCAGACATACCATAACATATGTCGAAACATCCGGTCGATAGGAGTCACGAGGCGCATCCGGATGGCAGACAGCGCGTCAACACTCCGAGACGACGAGACCTCTATGAGAGTCAAATACGGTACTAAAATGATGGCCGCTTTCGGTGTAGAATCACCGTATCTCTGCTCATAAAGGATAAGGATAGAGGATAAAGCTTTCGGCGATGATCAATCTCTGAGAGGATGCGCCATACATTCGAGTTAATCAAGTATCGTTGGAGGCGATTGAATGGATATCTGGCCTTTACAACGACTCTCAGTGGCCTGCCTATGTATCGAGCCAGTGCTGCTGTCCTCCAAGACAAGTATGGTACTAATTTGCCGACCCTGGAGGGACGGAGGGCTTGCTGGGCCTGTGCTGCGGGGATCGATCCCATGTGTATTGCAGGGCGACTCCGATCACTACACCACGCTCGCCCTTTCGCTTGTTATAGTGAATTTTACTAACTGAAATAGAAACTGTTGTGTTTCAAAGATCTTCACGTACAGAATATATGCTGTCGTGTCAAGAATCCGGTTTTCTTGAGCCCATGAAAATCATATTTTCAACTTTTTTTGGTTTTTTTAAAATCACTACTTCGAACACGAAAACAGTTGAACAGGCCGATTTCCCTCCAACAAGACAGCACGATGTTTCCCAATGTCATTTGTGCTCGAAGCTACCGTTTTTCCGTTGGAACTTTTACATGAGGCTTCCAATTTTTCGAATGTTTCAGTCCCAAACGTATTTAGGTTTCCAATGACACTATACTTACTTGGATCCTTCGATAACCCGTCCATACTGGTGGTGTGAGCTACAGAATAATTCCTAATCGTTGCTTTCTAGCGCAGTTCTCGTCCACGGTGGTGATCTGCTTCGGACATGATGGCGTCCTGGATATCCTGAACGCGGATGACCTTATACAATAGTTGTATACACAATTAATACGAACGGGTCAAGCTTCTATACATATATATATATATGTATATATATATACATATACATATATATATGTATATATATGCATATATATATATATATATATATATATATATAGCTCTGAACTGTTGAAGTGCTTTCAAGGACCACAAACCATCGTCTGTTATCGGAAAAAATGTTAAACGGCGATCAAACACGGATTTGCACTTGTTCTGAGATGGAAGAAACATCAGGACTTTTCATTTATTTCTGCTGTGTTGGCCAGTCAACTTAAATCTACTGTGTGCACGTGATCATAGACGTAGTGGGGTGTGAACTAAGTTGCCTATGTGCATACCGTATCGCGCCCGTCATCTCGTTGAAAAGCTTACGATCAAGTAACTGGAAAGGGAATGGGAGATGGTTCAGATTCGCGCTTTAACGAACAGGCTCATTGCCCAGCTTCTAAAAGCCAAGTACTCGTTTAAAAACAAGGGGACACATTTCCCTGAAAACAGAAGAATCCAGTTTCTGATAAGGAACTGTACCTGATATGTGTCACGATGAAGGATTGTCGGTGTAAGCTAAGATGACCATAGACAACGTCGGCGGATCAACAAGAGCTGGGCTAGTGGCAATTTAACTGGCCTACGCTCAAGTTGGTCGATAATCAATAGGGTGACATGATCTATTGGGCTGCTCGGGAAGTAATGTGGGATTTATAACGTCTTTCCTCTAGTATATGGTTTAGCAATAGCTTTCTTTTCGAATTCTGTCTCATTACATATAACTGCAAAACTCCGTTTATGCATTTTCGCTTCAGAAAATTGAAGTATGGAAGCTAACAGCGCAGTGGTAGTGATCGCGTTCATTACGCGGACAGCCCAACTCACCAGTGACTATTTCGACCCCTCCGTAGCCCACCAAGTCCTTCGTCATTCCGAGGTCGCGAAAATGGTGCAAGACCTAACTGGGAACACTTCACTCCCTGCAATCCAAGCGGGAGCACGGTAGCCTACCTACCCCAGGATTCCAAGGAGAATCGACTCGACCAGAATTCAGCGATATTCGTGACGAAAATGAGGAAATAAAGGCCTGATAAACTCATACGTAGAAAGTTCAGAGATGATCATGGGTGGTGGATTCGAGGAAACGAGTCGAATGTAAGAATTGCTGGAATAGCCACAGTTTGATTGCATTCGATGTCGGGTCATATCAGAAAATAACTGGATTGTAATAAACATTGTCTTTGAAAAATCCTAACAGTTAGAGATTAAGACTTCATATAGCAATTTCATAGAATCTAGTTCTACGAATTCAAACTCGTACGTAGTGCAGTGCAAACGACTCGAAAAAGTAACGGAGCATAGCGCCAAGGAACTGTTATCGAAAGTGTTGCTTTAAAAATTATCGTCATGATGAATTCGACGTTGAATTTGTGGTAGATCGTAAACTTCTGCTGCGAGAAGGTCGTGGACGTCCTTCTATTACTGACGACAGTGAATTGAAAGTTTTAGTGAAACCAAATACACGCTCAAATATTCAAAAAATCTGCGAAAGAACTTGGTGTGGGCATC